CACACCCACACCCACACCCACACCCCACACCCTCTGGCAGATCGCTGTTGCCATCAATCCGCACGTTTTTCGTCATCACAACATTTATTTGATCAAAAAAAAATATTTTTCAAAAAAATGAAGCAAAAACCAAACATTACAGTAGGATTTATCCATTAATAAATTCATTAGCTTTTCGAAGTATACTTTGTGTTTCTTCATGGTGAACTAAATTGCATGCATCATGGAAATGTAACCAACTAAAATCTTGATGTTCAGGTGATAGATTTATTTTTTGTTGAATATTTTTAAGACGTGCTAAATAATAATAAACGTCTTTTGGTTTTCCATTAGCATTATATGTAATTTTTTCTTTGAATTTATCATAATATTCTAAATCATGTTTATCAAGACCAGCTTCTTCTCTTGTTTCACGTTCAGCTGCTTCCAATGGAGTTTCACCATTCTCCAAATGACCTTTTGGTGGTGTCCAACATCCGCCATCGGAAGCTTGTAATAATAGATATTCAATAGGTTTTTGTTCTACTTGCCGAAATATGACAAATCCTGCAGATATATTCATGTTTCGTGGTAAATTGTAATAAGTAACTTCAACCGGCAATGCTAAAGGCACGATATGTTTTCTGTCTTTACACTTTCCGTTGTAGAAAGAGAGAACGCAAGAAAAAAATTTGTGATGTGAACTATCAGTCTCACTTCTACTGTATTAATGCAGTGCGAAGCACAACATTTATGTAGTCATGCGCAAGTTTACTTTTTTTTAATGCGGTGCGAAGTAAAGCATTCATGCAGTCCGTCGCGAGTTTCTTTTTTCTTACTTTTTAGCTCGACATATGCATCATATTTGTCATTTTGTGACGCGATGATCTCACGAGAGGAAAATCAGAAAACTTTCGTTGAAACGTGAAGTGAAAGGATCGACACCGAATCTGTATAATCTTTGATCAAATCATCCTAAAGACCCCGAGTCTTCTTAGATATTGGCTGTCAAAAACGCTATTTTGAAGCAATATATCATTGAGATAATTTCTCTCTCCCTAAATACGCAACAATATAATGCTATATATAGAGTGATTGGAAGGATTGAAAATTTCCATAAAAGATGAACAAGAGGAAAATCCATATAATAACATAAAAGAAAGAAGAACAAAAGGAGAGAAAAAGTTTAACATATATTAGCAGGTAGGAAAAGTTTATGATACATGACTAAACAATAAGAGAAAAGAAGACGAACGAAAGTTCAAAGGTATAATCCTATAGAAAAGAGGGAAAATCCAAATGATTGCATCTGAAGAAGATGCAGATCATAGCATGTGAGAACAGTAAAAATGTTGTGCCCTCGACATCGACGAATAAAATTGCTTATTACAACTTATCAAAAGGTAAATGATCAATTCTGATCATACACATGTTGCAATGACGAAAAACGTGTGGATTGATGGCAACATCAGTCTGCCAGAGTAACACGTTTTTGAAAAAGAGGAATAAGAAACTCTCATCACTGCTCTAAGATGAATTAAATTACTACAGCAAGCCGTATATTGTTTAATGATTTACTGAAACAATAATTTAAAAGAGAAGAAATGCTTATTAAATATCAAGGAATATTTTATAATATCATATACATTGTAAGATTGATGATGAGAGCAACTAAGAGTGCTATCTCTATTACTAATAAAATGGTTATGCAATTTCTCAAACTCATAAAAAACAGCTGGTAAGAACAATCATTGATGTGTCAAGGATAAGAAAGATATTTTCGCTTTTTGATCAAGACTTTCAATAGCAAAGTTTTGACTTGTTGGGGTGTTTTTTACCGTGAAAAATTTCAACGATATCGAGTTGCCTGAATCAGTATATCGAACAAGTCTTCTCTTGATTCTTGTTAATGTTATTTATTGATGTAACGAGCAAAGGCAGTAGTTGAAATATTATCAAATTGTGTTTTTTTGATGAAAATTACTTTCCGTGGTTGAAGCAAAACTAATGAACAATATTATTCGTTTATAGAATGATCGTCCAATTACAATCAAATAAGGAGAAAGTGAATTTATTTGTCTCGATTTGTTCTGTTTTATCTATATACGTATATATATTTTGTACTTGGAATATTCCTATTAATCATAAATTTTTAAAAATCGATATCTTGTTGTTATGAAAATTTCGAAGCGATTCCACAATAAATTCGAATTACGAATTTAATTGAAAGTTGTTTTAACAAAAAATAAATGCGAAAACCTCGGATTTAAATCCGAGTGTTATGTGTACTTCAAAAAGTGAAAAGGTATATTCACTGTGTTTTTTATCACTAAATTGCAAGGAGAAAATACAGACGTGCTAAGTTAGCATGGACCATACTGTATGCGATCCTATCCGGTGACCACTGACTCTACTCTCAGACTTATAGAATATCTTTAGAAATCACAGGAATTGAGTTCAGATTCGTGCTTAGCTTGGAAAATTGGGTAAGAAGAGTTATTTTTGAATGGATTTGAGTTTGAATCTAGTAGGATTACGATCGTAAGCAACCTCATCAATCTATAAGTGATATATCAGAGATACAGACATCAGGATTTTCCTAATAAATCACCAATATTAATAGCTATGGAGTTAGGGTTTTTACCTTTCGATAGTCCTTTTGACTAACTAGAAAATCAGGCATTTGGAAAACGCAAAACTACTGGTCATCTGAGACACATCTAGGCAATTTGCTTTCTCCATGCAGTTTTTCTGCATTTTGAGACCTTTTTCAGGCGATGTTTTGTTAGAAACCTACTATTTGGTTCAAAACTAATATCAGATTCGGAATCAGCATTAAAAACTGAGTCGATTTATATATGTTGTCAATAATTTTAAGAAAAATATTTTTTTTTGAAAAAAATTCCTGTACCCCCCCCCCC